TTCAATGTCTGTCCTACCCGTTATTCCTTGCTGGAAGGTTTTATTCCAACTATTTTCCATAATTTAAAAAATCAAAAAAAACAACCCACACCCCAACAACTTACTGACAGTCAAACTAAACCTTAATTTTCTTAATTTTGTCTAATCACTGCACAAGACAGCCCTTGTATGAGCCTACAGAAGTTTTTTTCTTGCCCATTATTTATAAGCTCTTTATTATGTGAGAGGCTTAAAATTTCTCTGGATAAATTGTGTAGGTAAAATACTAACTGATTCTTTTTAATTAACATGTTCAGTAATAGTGATGTGTAATGAGTTCAGACCTGAACTGCAAATTGTCCTGTATGCTTCTGGTTTCTCGAAATATGGATTAAAATTAAGCTTTATAGCTTTACACCAAGTTTTTTTAAAGCTGAAATCAACAGTCAAAAAGGAGTAAACAAATGCAGGATTGTTCCAGTACTCTGCTTCCCCAGCATGTGATACTCTAAAGATATAAAAATACCTAAGAATACTTTCTGCCAAAGCATTTCTGCAAGATTAAGTCCTTCAAACTGTCTACAAAGCTCCCCCTAAGAAGTTTCTTTGATTAGGCAAAATAATTTTGAACAGCTATGATTGTGTTGCAGTACAGTCTGAGCCTGACAGGCTAATACCTTAAACAGGGGAAAACATTTTTAACATACTTTTTACAGAAGTGCAGACTATGGACACAATGAACGTGTTGTTGATAAACCAAAGCCAATGGGAGGAGGATCCTGAGGCCACAGTAACTTGACGTGCTTCCAGCCTTCTCCAGGACTGTCATAGTTCACTTGTTTTACCTTTGCTACTTCAGCTGTCTTATACTAATTTCACTTTTGGAGACGTGTGCTGGGCAGAGAAAGCTGAGGCTGGTCAGAGTCAGGGAATAACACATCGTACATGAAGACGTACTCCACACTTCCTATTTGTAGTGTGCTTTCTCTCTGGTCACGGAGCCCCAGCCACATGATTTTTAGATATAAGGGACTTTCCCATGGTCATAGGAGGATTAGGCAAGTGCCCTACTCCTTGGTCCTTCCCTGTTGGGGGGTTAGGATTCGATCCAAAACCAACAGAAGTCTGTGGACAGTCTCATTGACTGACACTGTTTAAGTCAGACTCTCTAAATACAGTCTTCATGGAGAGGAAGGTTCTGAATAAACATGATCAACTGAAAGGACTGCTTTCTCTGAAAGTCTCCACCCTGCATCCAGCAGTCCCATCAGCCTTCACTGTGAATTTCTATGCCTAGCAGGAACGCAATCAGGCCTTACAGAGTTTTCACAAAATTAAAGATATTCTGGACTTTTGGCACTTTCTAGCCCAGCCCCCTGCTTCAAGCAGGACCACCAGCAGTACTGGATCAGGTCAGCCACGGCTTTGCCTAGCTGAGTCTAGCAAACCTGAAAGTGTGGAGATTCCACACCTGAGTGGCCCATTCCAGTGCAGCATTACTCACCTGGTGAAAAAACTTTTTCTAGCATCTGGCTGGAACCTCTGAAGTAGAGACATCTGCCAATGCCACTGGTTATCTGCCACTATGAAGAAGAATTTGGGTCTGTCTTCCTAATTGGCCTTCAAGTAGCTGTAGGCTTCTAGGAGACCTTCACTTGACTAAACAAGACTGGCTCCCTCAAGCTCTCCACGTAACGTCTGTGCTCTAGGGCCCATCTTGGCAGCTATTTACTGCATCCTCTCCAGTTTCTCAACATTTTCTTTGAACTGAGGGTCCTAAAGCCGACTACAGTATTTCAGATGCAGCCTCACCATTTCCGAGTCCTGAGGCATAACGACTTCTCTCACTTTGCTGACTGCATTTCTACCGTAGCCCCGTACGCAATTTTCCCCACTTGTGATGAGAGCACACTGTTGGCTTATGATCAGCTTAGCTTCCACCATAACCCCTGCATCCTTTTCAGCAGGGCTACTTGACAGCCAACTGATCCTTACTGCTGCTTTGCAGTTTACTGTTACCCCTATGCTTACCTACCCTCTAACCAGAAAACCAGCATTTTTCATCCTGTTTTAAGATCAACTTGACTTAAAAGGTTTAAAGGGATTTTGTATGTGTGCTGTAGGCTTGATCTACTGCAGAGATAAGCAGCAGCTACACAGTCTGCACACAGCCTTACACGCTTCCGTATCTGGGCTGTATCCAACAGGGTGTTTTTCACTGTTGTATAGCTTTCCCTTTTGGCATTCCTCGCTGTGGAAAAAACAGCTATCCACCCTCTTTTTCTGTAATTGCTTGCATTAATTACAGGCAGTTAACAAATCAGCCAGTGAAAACCCATTTGCAGCCACGAAAGAGTTACAGTTTGTATGTCCGACCAGGAAATTTTGGGTGTTTGCAGGCAGCCAATAAAAGGCAAGGCGAACAACGCAGCTGACTCACGGCAGGGAAGCTTGGGCTGGGTTTGAATGCAGTTCAACACTAACTCGCACTCGGTATCTGCAGCAGTTTCACTCCACTGCTCCTGTTTCGTAGTTTTTATGCCCATATTTCCAGAGGTAAGTTGATTTTTGTTTCCAACTTCTTTTACTGAGACATCTAAATATTAATAAAATGTAGAGTTTCTCTCATACGAAGGAAAACATCTTCGCTGTGAGTTATTTTTTAAAAATAACCTTTAAAATTAGAAACTTGAAATAAATAGCTTTCTATCAGTCTCCTTCCCGCCCCTGCCTGCCCAGCTAGGGGAAGATGACAAAGGTGTCTGAGACTTCTAGCTTCTTACTAAATATGAAGCTCTTCATTGCAAAGGTCACCTAAGAAATACCGGTTTTGTGGTTTGATAGTGAGTTTTTCAAAAGGGTCTAGAAGGAAAAGCACTCAGAAGAGCAGAATTATTGAAAATATGGCTTTGGTACCAAACTTACAATCTAGGGGGTAGAGAGAAACTTTGTGATCTGTAATTCCATGGTAGTGCCATATTCCATGATTAGTCCCTCCAACTGTTTTGGGAATCTGGGTAGCACCCTGGATAGATAAAAAATCTCTCATTTCAGGGTTAAACTCCTCTGGAGGTCATGAGCAAATCACTCTAAGTCTAGCTGTGGAAACAGATATACAAACTCAGACACAGGGACAACGGTGATTTGCATGTCATGGTTTGTAACAGAAAAGATTGAAGTGGTTTTCATTTTGATTTTAGAAAATCTCTAGTTAAATTAGGTTTTAAAAATCCAAAGTAGGAGCTGATGATTAGTCTTATTTTTATCTAAGTAGCCAGTTAGCAAGAGTTTTAAAATTCAGTCAAGTAAAGCTTAACAGTTTTTAAATAGAAACAAATACGTTCAGGAATGGTTTAGATCCTATATTCATTGTTTGATCTTCCTTGTACTATGTTTGGAGTTGAGTAATTATTTTGGCAATTAAAATGACTATTTATTGTAGTATATAATAGAAATAAGATATAATTTTGCTCCTGTCAACCTTCTGATACCTCCTTTATATTTAGGATTTGTAGATCTGTGTGGTCTGTCTTTGCAACTTTAAAGGAGAAATGGCTTATTTGGAAATCTATCCTCATTCAGAGCAATCTCACCAAATTTAATCAAACTCTTCACCTGTCAGGCTCATACCATATTGGATTTATTCTTTAAGGAAACTCTAAGTGAGGCACTTAAGCCAGCTATTGCTTTCAAACTACAATAATCTAACAAAAGCAAAAAATTCAACTGTGCTTTCCTACCAAAATGAAATACTGTTGAAGCTGAACCGGTAAATCAGTTACTGAATTTTTATTTGCATTTTGATTGTGGCTAGATACAAAACTGAGCTTAGTGCCCCTCTGTGATTGTGAATGTGCTTGCATGGCACAGCTTAGATACTGAGACTAACCAAAACCAAGTTGGTCATGAAGTAGAAGCAGTTCAGCCATGAGCATAGGCTAAGTTATCTTTAGGTTTTTGCTTCTATTCTATTCATGGAGCATAAATGATCTGCTCAAAGTCGGAAGACTTTCAGGCCTTCTGCATCCCAGGAGCTTTTTTGTAGAGCCCATCTTCTAGCAGGACACAATTCACACTCAACAGTCCTTACTGCTTGCTTCAAATTTTTGGCCCTGTCATTTCAGTTCCCTCATGTGTTCTGTTTTCTAGCCCTGGTCTACTGGACCCTGAAGGAGGTATTCTAGTTTGAGCTCTTCTGACTCACTGACCACTGATCTCGCAGTAGTCCTTACCAATGGTTTTATCCCCTCTGTTTTCTTTGCTTGCTCATTTTCCTCTTTCACCACTGACTTAGTTATTCTCTAGTCTAATGCAGCTTCACAGATGTAATTAAAAATGTTACTCATGTAGTAACACAGTGATGCTTTGCAGAGGTTATCTCTACCCCATGTGCATTGCCTTGCAATGTGTCTGAAACATTCAGATGGCCCTAGAGAGTTACAGTATAGACAGAGTATTGGCCAAATTCGTGGCTGCTATAAAGACACAGCTCCATTTAGCAGAGTTCTGCCAGCTGACAGCAGCAAATTTGTTTTTTTGCCTTGCTTTTGCATTGACATGTGATGTTGTATTAAAGAAGATACGCAAGAATGATGCAGAACAGACTTGCATTAGTTATTGAATTCACTTTTTTGAGAAGCAGGGAAACTGTGTTTCTGTCTAGCCTGTAACTGTAAGATGCTAGTTTGCTGTCTACGTAGTTCAGTACCACTTTAAAATCACATTTTGTATTATAAACTATGGCCCCACATTTCAAAGTCATCAGATGGAAATAATAATGAGCAATTAATTAGCACCTTGCAGCCTCAGACGGCAAGTTATGGTCCAGACACTCCTTTGCAATTAGTGTGTTTTTCCTGTCTTTATAAGGAAAGTCTGATACAGTGGTAAAAGGAAGCCTGTTGGATTAGGGTAATATTTATTTGGGAAGCAAGGGGTGGTGCAACTGGTAGTAGTGACAAAAAAGTAGTCCTTAAAACTTTTCTTCCTGCCATTTTTTACCCCAAGCCAGCCATCAAGAAATGGCCAAACCATTACCTGTCGTGGCCCAGGAAGATTTGGATAGCCTTATGCTGACCAGGACAGGCTCAGGCTTTGCACTCAAAGCCTTTCACCTTTCTTGGAACACTCACATCTCTGTGAAACCACTGACCAGCCGGAACACTACAGAGAGGTACGTGTCTTACTTGGCCAACTAACCTTGCAGTCGGGCAGCACGGACCTGTAGCGATGGCACCAAAATGAACTGTGGCAAGCCTATGATCACCTGATCCCTAAAAACATCTCCATACCTAGAAAGCCCACTAGCCAAGAGGCAACCTGGAGGCAGTTACACTGAAAAGCAAGCTATGCTTTTTACAAATTTTTATAAAAGTAGAGCTTAATCCTGAAGTCGTTAATTATATCTACTATGAGAATTGTCTACAAGCCCTGATCAGTAACACTCAGCATGCTATGGTATTACATCTTTCTGGAGGTCCCTGAAGAGATCTCGGTTGAATTTAATCCAAACCAGCACAGATAGGTGAGCGAGTAGAGAAATGGGAGGAGGGAGGGATAATGGTCAGAGTTACAGGGCAGTGAGGTGTGTACGTGACCTGATTATAAAAAGAAACGAGCAGTAACTGATGGGCGTCAGCCTAATGACCACAAAGTTCCGGTGTGCAACAAACACAGAAAGTTTCCAAGAATAACCACAAGCTACTTCTGATGAAGCAAGACCAAAGCATTTTAGAGAATGCACTGACGTAACTGTTTATCAAAAAAGGAATGTCTGATGTGTATCTATGGACTAGTTACTCTTGTTAACTGAGAGTGCTGCCATTCAGGTGGCTAATCAGAACCAGTGCTGTTTGTTTGGTACCTTGTTTAAAGAAAACAATGTTTCCTGTGTCCCCTGTCCACATTTTCTTTAAATCAAACAAAGAAATGCCAACATGAAATAGGTAAAGGTACAGAAATCAGCATTTTACTTTGCTTTGACTTTAACATGCTATTCTGATTTGGCATCTCTTCACTTAAACTTGCCCCCTAAAACTAAAGCCGGTGTTCTGCTTTTTTCTTTCTACCATTCTAATCTCTTGTTTACACTACAACGTGTACAGGAAAGCTGGGAGAATAAACTGTGGTTTACTACAGCTGCAAAATGTTTAGCTGTTGATAAATATTTAGATTTGTAGAAAGAAGTGTTAAAACAGGTGGGGCTGTGCTTTACTGCTAGTGATTAGTCTACAGGTTTGTGAATCAGCACAGTAAATATGAGAAACTGAAACTGAAGTCTTCATGTAAAGGCTGGTTAGAATAACGAGAAGGAGCACCAGGTCTGTTGAAATCAACTGAATTTTGAACAAAGTTCAATGAATTTTCAGCTCACAAGTACCACAGAGTAGAGACAATCAGATCTTTCAAGTCCAACATATAATTAACAAAAATTGAACCTGTAGCAGAAGTTCAGTTATTTCCGTGAAAGTGCACGACTGAATTGACGGTTTGGTGTTTCCTGTGCATGAAGAAGTAACTGTCTGAAGTCCTTAGACAGCAAACCTTTGTTCTTCTGGTAATGATCAAAAAGCAAAGCTTTGTTATTCTCTGTAAATAAACTGTTTGAATTCAGGTCTACAATCCAAGCACAGCTGAGCTTGAATTCCTTTGGCACAGTCACTAGAGTGGTACTGCTCACATCATATCTGACTTTGGCTTCACTTTTATATCACGCTATGATATCGTGTACCATTTTGTAACATGGTCCTGTTAGATAAGCATGGAAGATCATCATTTGCTTGTAGATGTGGATCTCACTAATAGTACATGGATACGATACAAGTTCTTAGGGACAGTAAGGGGAAAAAAACCCTTGATTTCTCTTCATCTACCATTTCATATAATTCAGCTTTCTCCTACCTTTGCATGCCAATCCTGCTTTAAACTGTGCTCTTATATTCATATTAAAGCATCCAGAGGTCTTCCACATTATATTGGAAAAACACACTACACATGGGATTGCTTAATTTTCTTAGAATTGTTTCAAATATGATATAATATTGGGTTTATTGGTAGAATTATATCAGCTTGTGTTCAACCATACGGTTATCTCTCATTTCCATGTCCTATACTATCTCATCTCTAGACGAAATTCCCTTCAGTCTAATCTGCCTCTAACCCTTGCTGGTTTTTTATAGGGAGTGGAAGTTGCTACTGCAGGATATAGCAAATGTCAGATGCTATAAATGTGAACGTCTCCTGCCTTCTCTTGGGATTTACTGGTACCACGGACTTGTGGGGATAGTGACTGAATGGATGAACAATGGATCCCTCCACTCACTCATCCATGAGGTACGTAAGAGAAGTCATCTTTTATCTGACAAAATTAATTACAAGGTCAGCTGAAAGAGAACAATCAGCATGTAAACTATGGACAGTAATTACAGTCAATCTGTTCTTTAGCTTCTGTATTGTACTTCTGTTTATTGTCAAATGAAAATGCGAATAGTCACAACTTCACACTACCAAAACCCGTACTTTGTGTTACTTAGCATCAACTGTACCCAGAACTTCCATTTCCCTTACTCATAAGGATCCTGTCGGATGTGGCTGAAGGGCTGCATCACCTCCACAGCCTCAAACCTGCTTTCTGCCACGGCAGCCTGAAACCTTCCAATGTGCTTTTGGATATGCAGTACAGAGCCAAGGTGGGAGCTTCTATTTTTAGCATATTGATGTAAAATCCAGCCACTGTCCTATAGTAAACAGTTAATACCAAGACTTAAGGTATTGTTGCTAAAATTTACTTTTTCTCCCACCTCTGTAGATATCAGATTATGGTCTAACCAACTGGAGGAAACAGCAGCTGAGGTCAGACCTGCAGAACTGCAATCGGAGAAACTGCCAGGATTTGGTGTACCTCCCTCCTGAAATACTTGAAGGAGGCCTTCCTTCCCAGGAAGGTGATATTTACAGGTGAATGGGATTTCTAAGGGCAGGTCATACCTAGTTCTTGTTACATTCTACAACGTTGCCAAAATACTTATTTTCAAAGTCACTGCAGTAAAAATGCCAGATCTGTATGGTGCAGTAAGATAGTATACGACACAAGGCCAACTACAGCAGTGAATTGAATTTGAAATTCCCCATATTTGGTGAACAATATACCAAGGTTAAGATCTGTTCTCGAAATTTGTCATATAAACATTTATGTAAATTACTTAAATGCTTAGGTGTAACACAGCTGCCAAAAGTTTTTCATATATATTTAGAAACCTAACAACTACAGTTCACATAGTTTCCAAGTGTGCACTGTTGTTGGCTTTAGTCTGAGGAAGAACTGTTGACGGCTAGATGAGGCCCAGGTAAAAATAAGACCTTTCCCTCAATAGTGTCCCATTAAGGTCCTATGGAATCTCTGTTGGAATAACTTACTGAGCCACTCAAGCATTCATACTTTTTAACTAAGGTGATTTATACAAAGGAGGAAGACTTCCTACTGCCACGTCCCTTCTGGATACGTTACGTGCTTTGTAGTTGCCTCAATAAATGAGACAACCTCAAACTGCAACTATTGTCTGTATGGACATTCATCTTTACAACCAGCATGCAGAGCCTGTGGACTAACATTATAAGTAACTTCTAAGCATGACCGCTTTTCTGCTCTCAGAGCTTTTATGGAGGCAGCAAATTTAAACTCCTGCTTTATTGTCACAAAATTAGGCTCCAAGATGAGTCAAATAATGCAGACCCTTGAGGAGACCTATAAAAGATGTGAGTAACCTGATTCCGTTCACAAACACAAGATTTTTACGCAGGAAGAGTGGCAGCTTACTTTCAGGTGGCATAATTAATCTTCCAAGCATGTCATTCTTCTATAATTTTAGATGCTCAGTTTTGACTTGGTGCATGTCTAGACAGAGAAAACTAAAGTATATGTCATATGAGATATTACTTAAGCACATGTAAGTTACATTTACATGTATATTACACTAATATTTTCCTAGAGGATATTTAAGTAAAAGTGCTTTCAGATATCATGTGGAAGTAAGGCAGAAGGTTCTTTTGTAATTTAGCACTACAGCAAGATATAGGAGTAAGCAGATATGTGTATCCTAGAACTGCTTCTTCCCCTTTTGATTGCTTTGCTTCCAAGTCACCTGTAGCCTGCGTTTTCTCTTCCAGCAGCCTCCTTGCTTGTGCTTCTGTTTTTGCAGAGTGTGATTTTTATCAAAACCCTGTATTCTGTATCATCTGAGTTCTGGGTTATACATGTAGATCTATGGTATCACTGCAATACTTCCTAGAATGTTAGAAAAGGAAAAAGGTCTTTGGAGCTTCATCAAAATTTGCTAAAGAAAACAGACATGCAGTGGGTCAGAATTCAGTTTTTCATAGGTTAACTGATGTGCTTGTCAGTACCTGCTGAAAGTCCAGCTCTTTAAGTTGCTATTTAAATTACTTGAAAACAAAACAAAAAATGATAGAGAAAGGGGAACAGAAGGTTCTGAAATTCACAAGAGCAAATGGAGATAAGGTGGTAACCTGAAATGTAATTCTAATTGATCCTATGTTTAAAAAAAATAATAATAATTCTAACTGATTTACTAGAGAACAGCTTTATAAGAACAGCTTAGTTGAAAATTGAAACTTAATAATGCAGGAAAAAGGATTTCATCAAATTAGGAAAAACTTGCATAGACTGTCTCGAAAAACTCCTTTCTCTTCAACCAATGAACTTGCTTTGGAAATGAGAACACAGCTACAGATCACAGACTAATGAATGGCCTTTTGCTGTTCTTTTTTCCAGTTTTGGAATACTGTGTTGGGAGAGCCTAAGCAGACGGAAACCTTTTGAAGGTACTTACCTCTGTTGTTCATGTCAGACTTTGAGTTGCCCTAATCTTTTTCAGAAATTCCCGTATTTTTTTTTTTTACCTTTGCCTTGTATTACTGTAACAGCTCATAGCTCCACATTAGGGGATGTAAAGATTAGAATCCCTCAAAAAATCCTCAGTGCTTCCAAAGAAGCTGATTTTCCTGCAGGGGAAAGGTGTAGCTTCTTACCCTGCTTTTGTATCATCTCTGCTTGCTGAAGCACTCTGTCACTGAGTCAGATTTTCTGCTTACCTTCAGTGAGAAAACATACCACCTTATATTTGACACTTGTAATTTCAAAATCAGGGACATTTTAGTGACAAGAGGCTAACTGCATGAGCAAAATGCCCTTTTATAAAGCTGCCGTGAGTTTCAAATCTTAACAAATGCCAGTTCATGCTGAATTCTCTAAAGAAAGCAGGGAATCTTACTTTCTTAGATGAAAATGCGAGCAGTTTTAAAGAACTTTGTTTGCAAAGCACTGTGCAACTGTCGCGGTCTAGGAACGATCCCTGCTTCACGGAGGTGGAGATCAATGGCAGGCTTCTCGTGCGAGGGAAGGACGCCTGCAGCTCCCAGGCTGAGACCCGCAGGGAGCGGTGTCCTGCAGCTCCCGCAGCTTCTGGCTGCCATCTCCTGGCTGCCCAGAGTGGAGGGGGTTTTGTGCAACGGAGTTCCAGTCTTGTCATGCAGGTGCAAGGCTTTCTACAAAACTGTGTGCTTGTGCTTGAAACATACCCAGTAAAAATTACACGTACATGTGAGGTATCTGTGCGTGTAGTTTACAATCCATGTACACACAGCCACTGGTGACTTACTATTTGGACAGAGTTCTTTATTCTGATACAGCCTGTTACAATAAGTAGCTATAATTATTGTTAAAGGTTAGCACATCTATTTATGAGACTTAACATATTTTTTATTTTTGCTTTTAAAAGCACTCTTTGTTGTAAAATACACAAAATAACTTACGCTAAATATAATTTAAAGAGAGTTCTGAGGTATTTAATGTTTTTTTGCAGTGACGTTTTCCTATAAATTGTAGGTCGGACAACCCTGCTGGAAGTTTTGACCGGCATCTGCTGCAGTTTGCGGCCTGGCGTTTCAGAGAAGTTCATACCAAGCAGTTTCCCTGAAAGGAACAGACTGCTGCACCTTATCGCTCTGTGTTGGCATCAAGAACCAGCTTACAGGCCATGTACTGCAGGTAACGCTCAGGATTCACTTTCTTTGCAGGATCTGTGAAGGAGACGGTCTTGCTGGGAACATTGCTCTCGCACTCTAGATCAATGACAGAACAACTGCCGTGGAAGTAGTCTTTAGATCGCCAGAGTCCTGTAGGTGGTTTTTCTAACTGAAGCTTCTGACTAGAAATGGCCTACTTATCTCCAGAATTCTGTTTAGTATAAAACAAAAATGAGTACATATAAAGGAAGGGATATTATCAGCTAGATGTCCTGGTGTCACAAAGATCAGTGTGTCTTCAGCATTTCTGATTCCAATGCGTAACCAGTTCCCTTTGAAGTGTGCTGTCATTGTGTATTTTTGTGGAACTGTTTATCATCTGTTTCTAAGAAGATAGCCAAGAAATATTTAAATTGTGATATTTTAGGACTTTTGAGCAAACTTTCACAGCTGAAGTGCCGAGGAAGCAATTTGCATATAGCTTTATTGCGACAGATTTATAGTCATGTGTAAGCCTTTTGCAAGGTATGTATGAACATTTAAGAAAACGTGGTTTTAATGTGACTGTAACCATTCTTTAAAATCAGTTCAAAAAGGAAACCAAGAGGAAGTATGAGGCAGAAGTTGTATTCAATTAATTTAATCTAGTACATCCAGCTACTCAACATAATAGTAAAGTTAGTTGCAGTATGCTAATGCCTAAATATATACAGATTTTCAAACACTGTATGGTATTGAAAATGCTTTATTACTCCTGCAGAATGTGTAGACCTTCTAAGTGGAATTTTGACTACTATAAATAAGGCGGCAATTTCCACTGCAATCTACAATCTCATGGATGCAAAGGTTAGTGCCAAATTAAGTTTTGCTCTCCTGCAAGGACATTACTTGATCCTTTCAACTGCAATCTTTGTGGTCCAAAACCAGGCAAGGCTTTGTCTTCATTGTTTTATTGGACATGCCAGAGCGCTGGAGAGTACCCTTTGGCACTGCAGGTTCATTCAGGAATTTTAGAAAATAGATATTCTGAGGTTCTCCAGAAGCCACGTCATTTGCGACCTGTGATATGACAGCTTCATTCCAGTCACCAGCTGCAGTCTGACTGGTAAGCCCACAGGAGTAAGAACAAGTATCAGCCTCAAGTAGATCAGATTAGGGCTAGAACAAATGACAATTTTTGTTGTATGTATGGGATAGAAGACACTTAGTCCAAAACCTGGACAGCGTTTGTACTGGTGGTAGCAATACTAGTATCAGCACTTCTCTGTGTGCTTCACTGCTAAACTGACATGCTTCAGGCACAAGACACTGCTTGTGCTAGGGTCTAAGAGGGTTCTCTGATACCACAGGAATGGATGGGGAATGGCCAACAGCTGAGGGATACGGCTATATGATATATGTCTACACTGCCATGGGAAATCTGGCACAAATCTGACTGCCACAACTATAGCTATATCCCATCTCGTTAACTTAGTCATAGTGGGGAAACTAGTGACACACGCTTCAGCCCTGGAACAAGTATTCAGGCTCCATCTGGATTTACACAGCCTGTGTTGTTAGTTTCACTGCTGTGCTTACGTGAGATGTTTGTGTTCATGCATGCTGGATTATTTCTACATGTTGCAATCGCATTCTGGGATTATAGAACAGACTTGATCAATGTTTTAATAGGTGGCATAGTTATAGTCCAAGTCATTTTTACTACTGTTGAAGTTTATTTAAGATTATACTGCCAAATATTCCATAATCTAATGCTTCAGTCTCCTTCGAGCAAGGTTTTATTTTTCTAACTGC